ATTTTAAAAATAGATAAAAAATATTTTTTTTTTTTTTTTTTTTACTAAAACAAAACTTGAATTTGAACGATATCTGCATCAATTATATTTAATGCAAATTAATTTTTTTGGCTAGCCTATAAATAGTCTGTATCTAAATTAAAATTCATTTTTTTTCTGTTCTTCAGAAAACGAAGAAAATAAACATTGTCGCGGATGGATGTGTCCACAAATGCAAACTTGTATCGCAGAAATTATAAAACCGTGTGGAACAGATGGATGTAAGATTAAAAGAAGTTGCAAAGTGTCAGTGAATGATTCTTCATTCTCAAGAAGATCTCTGGAGCACAAAAACGATGTTTCTCAAGTTGATATTGAGGTATTATTTTATTTGAACGAAATTGACCATCATTGATGCATTGAGAAATTATATGATTTCATTTAAAAAAAAAAGAAAAAAGAAAAAAGATTTCAATGATGTTCAAGTATTAATTTTCCTGTCGCATAATTAAAAAAAAAATTGAAAATTTCTAACAATCTCAATAATGTGAATTTTTCTATTTCTCCTCTCATTAAAAACTTTGATAACTTCAAAATTAAAAATCTTGGGAGATTTCTATAAAACTTTACTATATCCCTTCTTACTACGAACTTTTAAACTAAGTTTTTGTTTTTAAATTAAACAAAAAAAAATTGAAATATCTACAATACATTCCATGTCAAAAAAATTAAGAAATTTACGAATATCAAATTATCTTTATAATACGAACTATAAAAAAAATTTCCAAATTTTCAAAATTAAAAATTTTGAACAACATCAAAAAAAAAATTAAAAACCTTCTACAATCATTAAATTATCCACTATTTTACAATACAAAACCAAATCCTTATTCCTTCATTTTATCGATCCATTCATTTTCTTCAAAAATCTACATTTCGATAAAGTTTTTTATTTCCAGCAATTTCAAAATTGGCTCCGATCTATAAAGAACACAATTGGTGACGCGTACAACGATTGGCTGGAAACGATACTGTTGTCTCGAGGTGAAGAGTTTCGAAAATGGCTGCGAGCATTGAAACTGGATATCGAGGGACATCCAATATTTTCAGCACGTGAACAACCCGTTACACTCGCAGAAAATCCATTTCGCGATACCTTGGTAAGTATATTGATAAAAAATTAGAAATTTTGATGAAAAATTCGATGAAAGGGAAATGAATTAGCGATCGTGACTCGTGTTGGCGACGATGATGGCGAGTTATGTTTTATTATGCATGCGTATCGTTAAATTATGTTATGCGAATTCCACCATTCGGCTGGACCGAAATTTATGGCGTACAATATGCACGCGTGAGACGTGAGATGAATCGTTCGTGATAAAAGTGAAGCGATATTATTGGATGAAAATGAAAAATGGGATAGCTTGTACAGAACGGTTCATGAAATATTTCAAAAAGTGAATTTGCTACAAAGAAAAATGAGATAGGAAGCTTATTCAAGCAATATCATATAATAAAATATTCCATCGTTACAATTTTTCAAATTTTTTTTTTCGATACTCAGATTTTTTATCTATGGTACAATGATAATAAGATTAAAGAATTTGTTTAAAAAGAAAGTTAATTTTATTACAGAACGGATCGACCCTGGACGATTTGAACAGAGAAATAAAAGAAATCGAATCTCTTTTAAAGCAAAGAAACATAACGAGCATTTTGGAGAAAATTCTTGTTCCAAATAAGATTTTGACACCACCCTATACTCCTTTGGAGATCGCTCAACCAAAGAATCAAAAGGAATCTAATCTTTCCCTGATTCTCAAATATCTGTTAAAATATTCTTCTTACGGAGAAAATCAATTTTTATCGTCGCCAACTCCAAAGATCGAAAATACTCATGATCAGCAATACCTTGTAGTTCCTGTGAAAAGCGTGAAAGATTTAACTAGATCTCAAATTATCGATCCTAATGTGCAAAATCATAAAGTAATTTCGGATAATGAAAAAATATATGAAGAACGGAATAATAATTTCTCCTTCGTGAGTATTTTTTTTATTTATAATTATCTTTGACAAACGAAAATTATTATTAATATTAGAAAATGAAAACGTTAAATAGATTTCAAAGTCACTGGACTCGGGTTTGTTCGTAAAAGTTCGGGCAGAATCGGAAGAGCATCTCGAGCGATACGATTTTACCCGAATTTTTCCGATCGATTCCGAAGTTCAAAGTTTTATTTTGAAATATTATAAATCGATGGAAAAAAGATCAAAATTAATATCACCTTAATTTTAATTCCAAATGATCTATCAAATTTCATTTCAATTGTTTTGTTTGTCTAATTGTTTTCAAAGAATGTTCCAGAGAAACAGAACAATTTATCATTAACCAAAGACGAATTACCGTCTCTATGGACTGAATTCCAAGACGTTGAAAAATTACCCAAGAAAGAAATGCATTCTTCGGAAGATTCAATTGTTCCTACAGAAGAGGAAAAATTGACGAGTAAGGCGCAATACTTTGATGATGTTCCTGTTGATTTGTTTGAAAAGTTTCTCAAGTCTGTGGAATTCGCCCCGATTGAAAACACGCCACAGACTTTCGATGAGAAGGCTATTAAAGAAAATCACGAAGACGTAAGTTTTATAGAATAAATTCTATAGGTACGAGCGAATTTTGCTTGAATCATTTTTTATATGAAAGAATATGTATAAAAAAAAAATTATATATAAAATTTAAAGATTTCAATAAATTTAAAAATTTATTAATATATAATAATAATAATTCTATTATTATATTCTCAGTAATGAAAAAAAATTCTTCAATGATCAATAAATATTAATTTAATAAGTTTCATCTATACAGAATTCGCATGAAATTCCACAAAATGAGAAAGAAGATAAAAACTTCGAATTGACTTTGGTAACTCGTGATAACGAAGATGTATCTAGGGATAAAGAAAGTCAATTTTCATCCCTTAATGATGACGGTCAGACAAACTTCACGGACAATCTCGAACCAAGAGATAATATCTCCCCCGAGAAATTAGGTAAGTTCTCTTCATCTTCATTACAATTTATATGAATGCAAATGTTCGATAATAATTATTAACAAAAACTTTTATCAACATATGTATGACTCGAAGTAATTATACATTAATTATTTATAAAAAATTTTTCTTTTAACTCTTATAATCGAAGAAATAAATTCTCGTATATATAAAATTTCTATACGTCGAATTTTTACTTATTAAATCATTCTTACTCAAAAAATTTTTGATAAAATAAAATTTCCATAATTTAAATTTTTATTTTTTTTTTTTGAGATCCAAATTAACTAATAATTTTATACATTTTATATATCACTGTATTCATTAAATTAAAAATATTGAGTTTCGATGTATGGACGTTTGAAATCGATCGTAGAAAAATGCCTAAAAATATGACTTATTATTTTGTATTTATATCGTTAATATTGTATTTATATCGCTCCAAATCATTAATTAAACGAATCAATCTAATATTTCGAGATTAAAAAAAGTTGTGGAGTCGTTTACAATTTGAACGAAAAAAAAAAAATAATTACGAACAAACGATTTCTGAATATCGTGATAACTGAAAAATCCGGTTTGATTGGCGATTCTTTTAATTGGCTACATATATGATGCCGTTACGTTGACTGACTTTCATTAGTTTCCGTTCGATAGCAGGACAGAATCAATTCGGTATTTTTAGAAAGTCTGCATCGATGATGTAAACATATAATCTTCTTTTTTTCCTCGCTTGTTTGATCCAATTCTTTTTTTTTTTTTTTTTTTTTTTCTTAATATATTGGTGAAAAAAAATTTGTCGAATTTATATGTTATAAAAAAGAAAAAGAGAAAAAAAAAAGAGTGATTTTAAAAATTTTTTTTTTTTTTTTTTTTCTTAATATATTGGTGACAAAAAATTTGTAGCAAGTTTATTTGATTAAAAAGATAAAATGAAAAAAATAAGATAGTAATTTTAAAATTTAATTTTTTTTGTTTTTTGTTGAAAAAGTAATATAAGAATCAAGATTTATGAAATTTATGAATAATTATGAAAATAAAAATTATTTAACAATTACGAGTTTGAAAGTATTTTTAATTTTTAGTTGCAAAAATAGTAAATCTATTAAAATTAACTTATTGGATTTGAGAAAATATATATTTATTTTAGATAACATTGAATTATCTAATCAATCGAATAAAATGAACGATGGCAACTTAGGATTATCATTGCAACAAATGGATAATGAAAACGATGAAGAAATGGATTTAAATCTCTTTCTTGAACCGAACAATGAGAGTTTTTTGCCTTACTTAGAAACCTTAATGAAAATCGTGAATGAAGAAATCGCTGCTGAGAACAAAGATATAGAACTGAATCCCGATGAAAGTTCAATTACATCGTCTATTCTAAATAATGTTGCAAACGAATCATCTGATAAGTCTAAATCTTTGAAAGTTGAATCATATAACAATTCTACAGAAAAAATTTTAAATAATGATAGCAATTCATATGATGCAGAGTTTTTGGAAAAAGAAAAATTTAATAAGATTTTTACTGAAAATCAAATAATTTCGACAACCATCACAACAAAATTAAGTCAGAAACCACAACAGGTATTTTTTATAAATAAATCTAATATTTAAAATTTAAAATTGAATTATATATGTTCAAAAAAATATATTAATGCTTTTATATATATATGATAAATATATTTATAT